AACTATTTCGACTCTTCGAGGCCTGACAATTGGTTGTTCATTACGATCCAGCCGAGCCAGAACATCCTCCAAGTTTTGTTTGAGAGTTTCATTTTCTTTGCTCACTCGTTCATGGAGCAACGAGACAGCATGGTATGTTTTCTGTTGCTTCGAACGCTCCGCTAACAAGTTCTGAAGTTCCCTGCAGAGAGTGAATCCGCAGTGCAGGTCATCATCCCATAGCACGATCTCGAATTGTTTCAATTTCTCAAGCTCTCCACATTTCATGCGGAAGTGCTGCACTTCGAGAAGCTCTATTAACCTTCTTTGCTTCTGTTCTGTTCGTTGTTGCGCCTCTTCCTTCCGCTTGCTTTTGTCCTTCATCCGAACCATTCTCCTCATTTGGCATTCAACTTCTAACTTTTCCTTCCAACAGCTTTCTAGCTTTTTTTCTAGACATTCAATATCCTTCAGCTTGATCTTTCCAGAAAGCCACAACTTCACGGTCCCGTTTTCTTCTGGGGAAGGCGTCACCCGTTCTGGCCCTAGTGATTCTTTCTTTTCTTTCCACTGCAGTTCCCCCAGCGTCCCCGGAGATGAAGCCTCCACCAACCCTAAATCCTTGCATCGATCTGCCTGTAAGCCCTTGAGTGTGGATGGTGGCGCTTTAGAACAGGAATGAATTTCGAATAAGTCTTTGCAAAATTCATGAGTGATCGCTGATGCCACAGGATTGACAGTACTACCTTGATAGCATTCAGCCATTATCGGGCCTTAACCGTCGGCTTACAGGAGCATCATCGATCGTGCGTTTTTTTTCTTGTATGCAGCACGTTGTGACATCTCTTTTGTGGACTGCAAATTTTTGCCCGTCTCGGTGCATTTTTTTTTGAAAGATTAAAGTTAAACAAATCATGATGCGTCTGTTTTTTCCTGTTTTGTCTTCCTTTGCTGAGGCTTTCGTGACAATTAGCGTCCCAGAAACACATTGCTGCCATTTTCTTGTCACAACTAATCACAATGGGTTTTGCTTGCCTTTCATGGATGCTGGAACCCACCACCTCTCACTAAGTAAGAACTAAGTGCAAACACTCCCGCAGAGATCGTCGCCCTCAGATCAAAGAAGCGTGACGAGAGGTCTACATGTTGTCGACCTTAACTGTTGTGGCCTTGAAGATGAAAAAGAATGTTCAGAGAAATTAACAGTTCATACATCTGCAGCTGTGGCCCCGAACCCTTTGCTTCATCTTCACCGCAGGCTCAACGGTGTATCGTTGTATCTCGGCCCACTCGCAAGCAGGGTTAGCTACCGGACCGGAAATTGACATTGATTCTTGTTGTTCAGACCAAACTCTACCTTGCAGAACCGGCAGAGCCCGAAGCGCTACAGTCTGGCGGACGACGCGAGGAATCTCAAACGGTACAAAAGAAACCAGAAAAGAAGCTTGACAAAAGCTTGACATGGCCAGCTTTGATTTGGAGTCTTTTGTTGTTCGGAAAGCTGCTGTGGGTTTCTACAAGCAGTTTGTTTCGACAAAGATCCATTGTTAGTTTTTACAATCTAAGATCAAGTTGTGAAGATGGGAAGAATGGTCTACAAAGGTGTCCAGACAAACAAAATCAGAAAAATGAATAAAAAGGAACTAAAAACCTGGAGTCTATTTTCCCTTAATAAAGTCTTCGTATGAATATTCTACGTAACGCTTGACCTGAAAATCAGAACGATCTGAATAGAATAAATAGCTGACTTACGGTTTGATGTCCTTTCGAATGATCTTTAGTGGAAGGAACCCGATGGAATGTTGGAGTCACGTGTGTGTCCACAAAGATGTAAGCCGGAGTCTTTCTTGGAGTTTCGATATTAAAATGTTGTTCCTCCTCCTCTTCTTCATCTGTTTCAAACGCGAAGCTCTCAGTTTTCTCCACTAGGACCGCTTTGGGACCGACAGTAGTTGGATGTAACGTCTCGAGCTCACCATTATCGAAGGTTACAATATTCGACTGCCAGGGCTTTGAATGAAGTGCGTGATCATCGGAAACCATTAGCTTCGCGTTTTGCTCTTCATCATCATCATTGTCGAAAACAATCAACTTCGGTGCTGGATGCTCTACCATGGGCTTTGTTTCGTCGTCATCGTCTAACTCTGGGCCTGTATTTCTCAGTTCATCACGATTCGCGGGCAGGTCTGATGGATGAATGAATTCCATTTTTTTTCCACCCGAAGGAGAAGCGGTTTGAAGTGTTGCACCATATTGATCCGTATCGTGCACAACGCCCTGATCATCCACCGTGAAGAAGGTGTATCCTGCTACTTGAAGATCCACATCGGGAGCCAAGTCTCGTGGAGTTGCTAATTGACCCTCTGTGCCATTTGTACAAAAGAAAATAAGTGCGATAAACAAGATTCGCGAAATCATGAGCAACTTGCGGCTTAAAATGAAAGATTTTTGCTTTTTGTTTTCATTGTTTACAGATTAACAACCAGAGCAAGCAGGATCTTCAAAATCAAAAACTGATTCTGATCTGCATTGCTGACACAATCCAAAAACACTATCAGTGAAGTGAAAAACAGTCTTTGAATTTCTTGTACTTTTTTCTAGTAGAACTGTTGATAGGCCCCTGGCATTTGCCAAACGTATTCTGCGGGAGACTCTCCCTCGCAAATTTGGGGGCCATAGAATGCATAGTACAGCTGCTGCTGCTGCTGCTGCTGCTCCACTGAGTCGCTATAAGGAACGTATTCCTCATAAGATTGGGGAGGGTTTTGTGTGTAATACAAGTCTTGTTTCATCTGCTCAGCTGCAAGGGTCTGCTGTTGGTGTTGCTGCTGCCTGAGAGCTTTGGCTCGAGCGCGTCTTGCAGAACGTGGAATTGGTGTTGGATTGTTTTGTCTTTCAATTCTTGCTTTCATTGCTTCCTTCACTTGAAAAATCGGATGCTGAGCCTCAATCCCGACAACAATTGCTGGTGTTTTTTTTGGTTCCTTCTTTTCCTCCTCTACCTTTAAACCCGGCCATTCATCTAGCGCCGGCTCAACTCTCGGGTCTACAACTTGCTCTAATCCACCTATAAACCGACATCATTCAAAACAAAGCATTGATCATGCTGACCCCCAATAAGACCTTCATTGAGTTCCTGTTTTTCACTGGATGCTTTTGTCTTTCGTTTTTTCCTTGGTCGTTTTTCATCATTCTTTCCACCTTCTTCTTCAGCTTGTCGAATCATCTTCTCCCATTCCTTTTCCGTCGCTGGGCTATCGTCAAGTCCAGGGACAAAAAACTCTTCCTCGTTAAGTATTTGGCTGCGGCGTCGTTTTCGCTTCTCATTTGATGCACCTTACCAAAAAAACTCATCATATTTTCACACTCCCTCTCAGACCTCACCATATGGCAGTGTATCTTGCTCCAATCGTGGAGCTCGTTTCCTTTTCTTCCTCAAGGGTTTCGGCTTTTCTTCCTGATCCTGATCTTCAGTCATTAAGACTCAAATTGAGTTACGAAAGATTTGGACTCCTGGGAAAATCTGTTTTTCTATGATCAAACGGCCATTTTTGTCTGTCCCAAATTACAATTTACATGCTGCCATAAATGTTAATAGGTTGGATTTTCAACCCCTAGTAAGAATGTGACTAGCTGCCAAAGGCTTCGAAACGCTTGAATGAATAAGAATATGATCGCAAAAATGTGCATGGCATGCTAGTCAACATTCTTGCGCAGCAGAGACGCTAATCTTTCAAGCGATTTTGACTGCGACGCCTCTTCCTCGGTCGGCTCAAAGCAGGGAAAATACGTTTCGCATCTGTGGAGATAAATGAATCCCACTCTACAAAAAGAAGCTCACCTTGCAGACCATCTGTCAATCATGGCAGCATTGTGCTGGAAAGAACCCAATTTCACTGGTCAAGAGAGCTAGCTACCTTACCATCCAAAAACTAACAGGAGTCCGACAAGGCCCCCGATAATTTTCAGTTGGCCGACATTTCTGATATTAAAACACGTACTCCTACCGCTTCATTCGTTCACCTTACGTCATGACCATCTGGTTCGAAATCTCTAGGGCACTGGCGTCCTGCAATCAAATTTTCTAGCGGGTGTGACAACGCATCGCTCACCGTAATCTCTGTTGCATTTAAGGCAAGGCCACACTGTTCTACAGGAGTCCATGAACGTCCTCTTAGCAATACGATCCTCCCCTCGCTTGAAACGCTGCTGCTCTTGGCACCTTCCCCTATAAGTTCCCAACGGCGAGCAAACAAATCCAGTCGCATCGGCTGCTATGACAACAAAATCATCAGGACACGGAATTCTGAAATCCACGTGTAAAGCACTTCAAAGGGGGACCTTCATCACCTGAAGTCTCGATCACAAGCATCTGGGCGCCGCAAAATTGCTGGATCTGTAAACTCCCATTGGGGAGGAAAGTCTCGATCCTCTATCGGGTTTGGAGCCCCGTCGGATGTAGCTGAAAAACAATTTTTAAGCACGCTGAGTGGAGTAGCCACGTTTCACCTTCAGTTATCGCCTCTGCGAAATTCTCGTCCTGAACTGAATAGAGGTTGAAAAACCCTCTGAAACATGAAACAACATACCTAACTCGGAGTCTTTTTCAGGCATTCTGTTAGTGAAGAGAAACGATGAGATGGCACAACAAGTAATTCTCACCCAGCGACACCTAAGGCCAAGGAGTTTTTTGCTGCAGTTCCTATTCCATGCATGTCATAGTGGAGACTAATTTTCATGTCCACCGCGACCAACATGGCTGGGTACAGTAAGATAAGCCCGATGCGCAACATCATCCGGAAATCATTAAGATCTTCATGAGAAATTTTTGTTTTCAGGTGTTTAATTACTCAAAAAACACGTACGATAATTTGCATTTATTGCTATGCAAACAAACATTAAAACTTTCAGGACATCGGAAACCAAAGAAAGAATAGATACACTAGCTACTAGAACCTTCAGCCGTGATTGGCCGTCGCAAATAATTATTCATTATATATCACTATGGAAAACAAAAGCCGCTAGACGCAACCTTGCTCAATGACGCTATCTGCAACCTTCAGGAATCCTGCTATGTTCGCGCCCATTTGAATATCTCCAGGATGACCATACTTCGCTGCAGCCTCCTTGCAGTTCTCATAGATTGACTTTATAATATTTTTCAGTTTTTCATCAACTTCTTCTCGGGTCCATGCAGTACGCATCGAGTTTTGGGCCATTTCCAGTCCCGAGACTGCAACACCTCCGGCATTAGCAGCCTTCGCAGGGCATAGAATGATGCCACTTTGTTTGTAAACATCGATGGCTTCATTAGTTGATGGCATATTGGCGCCTTCCACAACACAGAGGCAGCCGTTCTTTGCAAGCATCCTCGCATCGCTTGCATCGATTTCATTTTGGGTAGCAGATGGAAACGCATACTTCACATTCTGGATGTCCCAAGGTCTCTTCCCTGTGAAGAACTTCGAACTTGGAAAAGCCTACAGAGACAAGCCGGATGACCAGACCACCATTCGCTCCCAGCTTACGGCGCAGTAGTCAGAAACACGACCTCTTCGCACATTTTTGATCTCCATCATTTTCTCCAACTTTTCTGGAGTAAATCCTTCAGGCTCATAAACGTAACCAGAGCTATCGGACATCGTCAAGGGGACAGCTCCGAGATGGATCAGCTTCTCGATCGTATACTGGGCCACATTTCCAGATCCAGAAATCAAACAACGAGCTCCCTTCAAGGGAACGTTGTTGTCCTCTGACCAGTTTTGAGCGAAGTACACGGCACCATATCCCGTAGCTTCGGGGCGGATCAAGCTCCCTCCCCAGTTAAGAGCCTTCCCAGTGAGAACGCCTTCGAACTGATTCATCAACCTCTTGTATTGCCCAAACAGATATCCGATCTCCCGACCCCCCACATTGATGTCACCAGCTGGAACATCTGTGTCTGCGCCGATGTGGCGATAGAGGGAAGTCATGAAACTCTGGCAGAAACGGAGTATTTCGTTATCTGACTTTCCCTTAGGATCGAAATCAGACCCGCCTTTCCCTCCCCCCATTGGCAGTCCCGTTAGACTGTTCTTGAAAATTTGCTCAAACCCCAAGAACTTAATAACACCGAGATTGACAGTTGGATGAAAACGAAGCCCGCCCTTGTAGGGCCCTAGAGTTGAGGAGAACTGGACGCGGAACCCTCGATTGACACGCTGGTGTCCGCGATCATCCAACCACGGAACGCGAAAGACAATAATACGCTCTGGTTCAGCAATTGTTTCAAGAACAGCAAGATATTTCGGTTCCGCCTTGAAGAGCGGGGTCAGAGAATGTAAGACTTCGCTGAATGCTTGAAGAAATTCTTTTTGATCGGGATCTCGCACTTCGACTTTCTTATAAAGGGACTCAATTTGCTCTTCAATAGGAACACTTTTAGCCCAAGAGAAACGTCCTGTCTCATCACTGTTGACGACAACATCGCAAGATTGTGGACTCATGAACGCCAATGGATAGAAAACGTATGGAAAGTGAAATGGAGGGAAAGGTGTTGGATGGGAATCGACATGCGCATGCGAATACGACTTTCAGGACTGTTCAAAATAAAAAATCAATGAAACGAAGAATGAACACAACCAGCTGCACAGCCACCAAAGGAATGACCTTCATCACTCTCAACGCTACTTTCACTCGATAAAGCTCCTTCCAAACCTTCTTCACTGCAACAGCAATGCTTGGCTTGGTGAATAAAACGTTTTGGCCGAAACCGCAGTCTTCCTTGAATGTGATACCGCCGCTCTGAACCCAAAAGTTTTTCATGGTGGAGTGTGCCAAGTCTTCCAATATGAAGGGAAATCTCCCTCGCCAGTTCATCGGGAAGCGACCCCTGTACTTGAGGTGTCAATCGGACGTCTCGAACTCTTTCTTCGGATGGACGAATGATCTTCTCAGCTAGTTCGCTGCCTTCTGTTATTCCCCTCTCTCGACTTGGTGTCAGATGTCCTGGTGGACTCTTTTCTTCGGAAGACATCTTTTTTGAAAGACTTCTTTCATGCGAAGGAATTTGTCTTGGTGGACCCTTCTCTTCGGAAGACATCTTTCTTGAAAGACTTCTTTCTTGCGAAGGAATTTGTCTTGGGGGACCCTTCTCTTCAGAAGACATCTTTCTTGAAAGTTCATGCGAAGGAATTTGTCTTGGTGGACCCTTCTCTTCAGAAGACATCTTTCTTGAAAGTTCATGCGAAGGAATTTGTCTTGGTGGACCCTTCTCTTCGGAAGACATCTTTCTTGAAAGACTTCTTTCTTGCGAAGGAATTTGTGTTGGTGGACTCTGTTCGTCGGAAGACATCTTTCTTGAAAGACTTCTTTCATGCGAAGGAATTTGTCTTGGTGGACCCTTCTCTTCGGAAGACATCTTTCTTGAAAGACTTCTTTCTTGCGAAGGAATTTGTGTTGGTGGACTCTGTTCGTCGGAAGACATCTTTCTTGAAAGACTTCTTTCTTGCAAAGGAATTTGTTCTGGTGGACTCTTTTCTTCAGAAGACATCTTTCTGAAGAGAGTTGTTGAAAGAGTTTCTTCTTGCAATGGAGGCCTCTCTTCAGAAGACATCATGTTTGCAAGACTTTCCTCTTGGAATGAAAGCTTTTCAGCATTCTGATAAACTTCTTGTCGTGTTTCAATTTCTGGATTTTCGATGATTTGAGGAGCTTCAACGGATGAAACTCCCCCCAATGAAAACGTTCGTCGCTCTTCATCACTTCTAGCAAATTCTTCACCGAGTGCCTCTAATTCTACTCGACCTTCCATCAATTCTGGCGATAAATACTCCGAAGCGTCAATTCCAGCGGCATTCAGTTGATCAAGAAATGAATTAAAGTGACTCTTCATTGAATTGTAGGCTGTCTTCCACTCCTGTTCGCGCTTAAAACATTGATGAAGCGTTTCTGCTAAAGCGTCGTCTTTTTCTTTGATCACTTCTGCCATTCGATCTCCAAAATCCTTCAATCAGCCCCAATAGAAATTCGTTGCATTTGATAACATCACTCACCGTTAAACCTCCCTCTGCTTTTGCAGCTTGTTCTTTTGCGGCAACAGTCTCATGTATAAACGTGTCTTGCATTCTTTCAAAAATCTCAAGTCTTGCCTTCAATTCCTCACTCAGTCCTTTCTGCCCTTGTAACGCGGCAGTCAGTCTTGCAATCTCCCCACTCATTGTCTTAATTTCTCTCTCAGCCACATCAGACTTCATTCTTGCCTGAGATTCTGTTATTCGAATCACTTCCACAGCACGCCTTGCTTCCTCTGCTTCCCGCTTTGCTTCAATGAGTTCATTCTGAGCAACAACGTCACTACAATCCCAATTTCGTGCTTCTTACGTGCGCAATCTGAAGGTCGCCCTTGAGGTTTCGATGTGACTGATTGTCGAATGTGCGTCGACGCTCAGCAAAAGACATTCTCTAAAACAGAGAATTCAGCGGTCCGTTTTTATTGACTCTTACTTCATCTTTTAAAATTTCAGAGCTTCTGCTGTCTTCGAGTTCTTGTTTTAATTGGACTAATTCTTTTTCCAATTCTATGCATTTTGCTGTTGCTTCTTTCAGCTCATCGCTTTTTTTCTCTAGACGTTCTGTCGCCTCTTCCAATTCAGCGGCCCTAACCAGAAATAAATAACATATGGCATACTTTCTCCTGATTGCACCTCCTCATCAGGATTAAGTCCCCTTTGTCTAGTTGATCTCGGAGTGTCGATCTCTCTTCATCGAGGCGATCCATCTCTTTGCTCAAATTTGAGTTATTTTCTTTTTCTTTCTCAACAATCTCGGCCAGTCTTGACGTCGTTGCTTTCTCCTTCAATAGAAGATTCTCCGAGTCTGACATCATCATAGTAGGAACCGTGAACACAGCAGGGAAGTTCTTACCTTCCAGCTGTTTTTCCAATGATTTATATTTATCTCCAACAACGCGTAGGGCTTCTTTAAATCTTTCTCGATTGTCCATTATTTCTTGAATTTTCGCATCTTTCTCTTGGATAGTCCTAACGTGCTCCTTCAACTGCTTTTCAACAAAATCATTTCTCAGACGTGTCTCCTGATGCAAGCGTTCCCTTGCTGCGCGCTCCGCTCGTTCTTCTCCCAGTTCTCGCGCTTTTTCTAAATTGAAGGAAGCAGAGATAATTCCTTAAAAGCTTATATCTTACCGTCGAGTTCTCTGTTCACTTGCTTGAACAGTTCCTGCATCTTTTTGAGTTTTCCTCGTGCTTCCTCGACTTCTCCCTTCAACTGATTTCGGATGGCTCCAGCTTCTGCCTGCTGTCTTCTCATTGTCTCTACTTGGCGGTTCAGCACTGCTATCTGGGCATCTGTTGACTTTGCCCTTAACGCAAGCACGTCAATAAAGTGATCTCTATTCTCAGGTGAGAGATCCACGATGGTTCCTTCTGCTTTTCTCAAAAGATCTGTAACGGCCGTCAAATCGTTCTGAAGCTTTCTTTTGTCTTCGATCAGACTATCAGCTTCTCTTCTCAATGCATCACGCTCACCCACAGCTTGTTCAAAGTGCCGCCTTGCTCCCTCAAATCTGCTTGTTGCTTCAGCGGAATTGTCTTCAATCGTCTTCGTCAGTATTTCGATCCGTCGTGTTGCCGCATCCCTGGCCGCCTTCATTTCGATCAGTTCAGCTTCCAGTCTGTCTGCATCATTCGCACGAACACTTCGTTTTCTTAGAATATCGATTTCCTGGCCCGCCTTCGCAATTATACGCGCTTGTTCTTCCACCTTAGCGAGATGCCGTTGAGCGTCTGTTTCGTATTTTTCTTCAATTTCTCTTCCCCTGGCTTTTTCTGCTGCGATCGCTCCTTGAAAACTTTCAAGATGGGCCTCAGCTGTTCCTGCTGACGCCACCGCGCTCAAGAGCCTGCTTGCTTGTTGGATCGCCGACTCGAATTGAGACACGCCCTCTTCGATTTGTTCATGACAAAGCGAAACCGACCGCAATGGGTCGGCGAAGTCTGGCATTTCTCTGAACGGCTTTATTCGCGTTGCAATTGTCCCCCCCCCGGTTTTCGTCATGAGCTCCGCCAGAAACGATTCTGAGCTGTTCAATAATTCGAGGATTCGTCGCGTTGAATTCGTACAATTCCGATTTAATTGAACTTCCATTTGCTCCAGATTGTCAATTTTCTTCTTCAAAGCTGCAATATCAGAATCCTTCACCGAAGCCTCCTTCGCAATTGCTTTTTCAAGAAGAGATTCTATTTCATTCTTCTGTCGTTGTCGCTCGAATTTTAACGCTTCTTCTGCCTCTCGTCGCTCAGCTGATGCTCCACGTGATCGATAGGTTTCGACAACAAATTCTTCCTTCCCTCTTCCAGGACTTGCAACATCTTCGAACCCTCTACCAGATAAACCACCTTCCCGTGCTCCATGTGTAACAATCCTTGGAATCTCTTGCTCTATTCGCTGAATTGCTTGTCTTGTATCCTGCGATCTCATCTTTCCTCTCTCGACTTCAAGTTCGCTTCTTAATTTCGCATTATCTGTTTGTAACAATTCTGTTTCGCGTCTTGAAAATCCAATTGCATCAAGGTCTTCTCGGGCTCGCGCTTGCGTCATCGCTAAAACTCGTAACTCAGAAATCGAAGCGGTTAACTTTCTCTCCAGGGTTGCAACAGTGTTGTGCAATCGGTTATTTTCTGCAACAACCGCTTTAACATCAGTCTTTCCACTCGTCCTGAACTCTTTTTCGATTGACCGATCCGCTTCGATTCCATCTGAAAGACGTTCCTTTGTTTGGGACTTCTTCTCCTTATCGAAATTGAGTTTCGTTCTTGGATCTGTTGACAAATTCTCCTGTTTATCGGATGAACTGCTTTCATTCATCTTTCTGTCTTTCCGCAAGTGTGATCTTCTTCTTTTTGAACCAAAGAAGCTTCCTGGCGTTCTATCAAGCACCCGTACTCCAACTCTTTCTCCAGTTGAGACTGCAATTGCAAGGCGTCTTTCTGCTCGTTTCAGCAATTCATCAAGAACACTCTGATCAACAACGCGCGCTCGACGTGCTGCAACTAATTGAGATTCCAACTCGTTCTTCTTCTGATTTAGTTTCCGCATCTGCGAGTCTTGAAGAGCCGCCCGCCGCTGGAGTTCCTGGAAGGACATCATGGTCGCGTGTTGTTCGATATTGCACTCACTCTCAGGGGTCCGGCTAGAAGCTGAATCTGCTTGCTCTGAAGTGCCAAAGCGCTCTCCATGTGTGCGAAAGCTGTTCCCGCAATTGCTGCGTCGCTTCGCAGAGTAGCTGCCAGTTCCTCAACATCGCTTCTACCGTCTGCGTCTGAAGAAAACTCGCGGGCTTTTGGTGGAAATTCTTCGTACGGTGCTCCCATCGGTGGAGATGAGCGCATCAACGCTCTGCCAGAAAGCATTGGAACTAATGTGGGATGAATCGCTCGAACATGGATGGGAAAAGACCGACGAGATGGGAAGAAGAAAGATCGTTTCA